ACTTCATCAAAAGTACTTTTTCACATTAAATAAAATTCCGTTAAAAGCATTTACCGAAATGAAAAGTTCAATGTTCCTACAATGGTACAACTGTTTTGATACTGTTTTTTGTTTCTGTGTCTTTGCTACTAAGATACAGGATTAAATACTTAAAATAGGATATTGGGCAAAGAAAAAAAATTCACATTTCTAAAAAGAAAGTCAACAAAAAAATAAAATCCCCTTTCAGAAATTGACAGAAAAAAAAAAGTCACATTTGTATCCAAGCATCCAAACCAACTGTTAATGGCTCATACATGGGACTCCTGCATAAAAACTGGAGAAAAGGATAAAATCGGAGCCAATTCATGAAAGCTAGAGAGAAAAAAAATATGAATAATTGGAGGAGTTTTGAATGGAATTTGTTATCCCCCCCAAAAGGTATAACCCGATTTGTTGCCAATTTTTTTTTTCCTCCTTTTCATGAGTTGGCCCCATCTCTATGCTTCTCTATAGCAACCCAATTTCTTTTAGTTCCCCAACATGCAAAGGACAGATGAAACCTGATTGGATAAGAGTTTGCGGTCTACGGGAACCAGATTGCATCTGGATGGAGATGACATAAAAAGCTTCACCTGATTGGTTGCTGCAAGAAAAATAAAAAAAATGGCTTCCTGTCCCCAGTTTTAGAACACAAGGCCCAGATTCACTATTAATGGGAAGGAGTCGAAGTGACCCCCCTCAGCTGCCAGACAACACGCCCCCTCTTTTCAGCAGAACAGTGTAACCAGGGTAAGGGGATATGTCCAGATGAAAGGGAAGGGTACAATTTATAGTTTTCTATTAAAATAGACGTTATCGCAAAAAATCTTAAATGTAAAAACACACAGGATATTTTTTTTTTTTTTTTTAACTATTATACAGACTTTTTTGAAAAGCGGATTTTTATGCCTGGTGAAAACCTCCAATCTTAAAACACACATAAAAACAGCGTAGTCACAACTTCAGCTCATCCATTTTTGTACATATGTATATATAGTTCTTGTCCATGGGACAATACTGAAGGCAGCAAGGGGATGGTAATATTAATATTTTACTCTTAATTCACCTCTTTTTTTTTCCTCCCCTTAATCTGCTGCATATCCCCTTCCCATCTTAAAATAAAATTAAGTTAATAAAAAGGTAAGGCGCACAGCTCTCTCATAAAATCCCTTTCCGAGGTGACATCCAGGCTTAAAATAATAATTAAAAACAAATTAAGAACACAACATCGTCTCTTGCGCGCCCGTTAAAATTCGTAGTCGTCCTCCACCATGTCGATAGCCCAAGCAAACTTTTCTCGCTGTGTTTTGTTGTAGATCTTCTCGATGGGGATTTCAAATTTTTTACACCTGAGCAAGAAAATAAAACAATAATAAATAAGACACGTCAGTAAGCACCCATTTACAAAAATTGAATACAGGCTTTCAACTATTGTACATTTAATATCTTATTGTAGTTTATGTAGGTAGTTAAAAATACTGCCAAAAATAAAACAAACAAACTTCACATTCTCAATGCAATTTTTATTTAAAAGCACCCACAGTTTTAAAAAACCCATATAAAAACATTACCCTAGAGCAGGGGTGGGCAATTCTAGCCCTCCAGCTTTTGTGGAACTACAAGTCCCATTAGGCATTGCAAGACTGACAGTTACAGGAGTCCCAGAGGTATGTTCAGATTTGTAGTTAAAACTAAGCTTGAGGCCCACAGTTGCCCACCTGTGCTATAGAGGCTTTTACTAAATAAAATGGGCACTTAAAGAAGCTGTTCTTACCAAGCTACAGAGATTCTTGGGTCCAAGTAGTTCAGTTTCGAGGTTCCTAAAGCAATTTGTTTGTTTTCTTCTCTGTCTGTGGCTTGAACCTCCAGTTTCATCAGCTGCTCCTCTATCCTCTGTACAGCCTTCTTTTTGCTTTCCACCATCCTGCAAGAAAAATGCACAAAACCGTTTAGACGAAGTGGGGGGGAGAGAGACACTTTTGTAAAACCCTTTGTGTTCCTTATAGAGCCCGGTCTTTCAGGTAATAAACCATGGACACCAGTTTAAAGGAGGCATTCTTCCTCCCACTGGCCATCAAATGTAAGGGTACATTACATAGTCCTGACCTCTGCACTGTATAAGCTGTGCAGTCTGACATACTCCTGCCAACTGCACTCTATACCCCACGGGTCACAAATTGGAGGGCCGTGGTCCGAACACAGACCGAGCACATTAGGTTATGGCTGGCTGACAGTGGATACACCAGCCTCTGAGGCTAGTGCATCCACTGTCAGCCATTACCCAGTAAGGGGACCCCCTCTAATTTAGTCATTGGATGCTAGGACCGCTGGCAACCAATAACCTCAGATAGGGCTGGCTGTGGTAGTAGTGATCTGGGTGGCTATACAGCCACCCAGATCACTTGAACTAGCTTGTGATCGTGCCGTCCCACCCCACCATTGTGGTTTTCGGGGTACCCCACTCTGCGTGGCAAGGGACCATGGCAGAGGGTGTCATGTCAGAATAGAGAGAAGACTAAGGAACATCCTTTTTCTGATCTACTCTGTGCTGAATGAAGCAGGGAGCGGTGTGCTGTCAGACCCCTCCCTGATATCTCCATAAAGAGAATCAGTCACCTCCAAATGCTGTCACATAGCGACTCGTTAGCCCAGGGATGTCCAAACTCCGGCCCTCCAGCTGTGGTGAAACTACAAATCTAATGAAGCATCTCTCCGGGAGTCATGTCTGTGAGAATCTTGCAAAGCCTCATGGGATTAGTAGTTCCACGACAGCTGGAGGGCCGCAGTTTGGACATCCCTGCGTTAGCCCCTTTGTGATAAGTTAGGTGTAAAAACAAAACAAAAAAACAGTCACTCATGGACTGAGAGATTGTTTGTTCTGTCCGGACTGCAATGAAAATTTTACTCGCCGGACCTCCTTGAATTTTAATTCATTACCCCCGCTATACACCATGTTTATTGCTGCATACTCCTGATCGCTGCACTGTGTGGGCTGTAATGAATATTACATACCCCCCAACCAACAAGTCCAGTCTCAATCATGGTTTCCAAGTAGTATGTCAAGTTCTAAAGTGTTAGGCTGGGTTTACACCTAGGCGTATCGAATATGCGCGTTTGTTGTGCGTTTTACAAGGGCTACAAAGAAGCTCCTGTACTTCTTGGGGGGTAGGCCGTTTTGTAGCGCGTTCAGGCGGCCTGAAATATGCCCAGGTGTGAACCATACCCATAGGAAACAATGGCATTTCGGTATTTGAGCGTACGAACGCGCTACAAAACGCCCAGGTGTGAATGGGGCCTTAGTGCTACTTCTGATGATCCTGTTGTATATTTAACTTGACTTAATATTGATGCCAGTTTAATAAACAGTGCAAGGAGTTGAGGGCAAAGCAAAACAACTTTTAACTTGGCTAACCTTCAAGTCCCCTTTGCATGCCACCACACCAGCACTGGATGGTATTCTGAACCAGTCAGAATCTAAAAGTGATGTGCTGGGAGGACCTACCTGATCAGATATTAACCGAATGTATTGCTTGGGTAGACCCTCACACTACATCGGATTGGCACATTTTACTGATCAAAGGAAACCTCAGCAAAATCTACCTGGTGTGGCTATCATGACGCCCTGAACCATGCCTGTTTTTTGACAAAACCACATTGTTTTCATGTTGCTATAAAAACAAGTCCAGATGTGCTATTTCAGTTTTATAAAGCGATACAAT